TTACCTTCTCAATATTGACTGCCACTTACTCATGTATATATAACTCTTCCAACATACAAAATAAATGAATAAATAAACCCCTCAAGAAAGAAAAACTTATGGTTGAACAGTCTCTTTGACCTATCTCTGCCGTCCCCCAGGTGTAAGAGCAGTGGAGTGCCAAAAAAATTGCGTGTGCTTCTCTCTACGAAACATGCCGGCCTTCAGATTATAATAGCATTTTGATCCAATCAAGCACCTAATTAACATGTCACTCAAATAATTCATTTAACCCGTAATTTTTTATGCTCATACAGTCCTTTATTATTTCTTTTATCAATGAAAGTAACATACTTGTTTCCTATTTGGTTCTACAACTCCTAGTTCCTTTAGTTCTTCTTATTTTGGAATGTCACGTACAGTCCTTATCAAGGGATTGCTGAGCTGACTTTTCCCTATTGTATATTGTTGACTTTTAGTTCCACTTCATCTACAATAATCCTGGCCATTGATCAAGTTGACTTTGTTTATTGTATTATTATCACTTCCATTGGTTGGCCATGATGGATTCGGGATTTGGGACTTGTATGTTGTGAACGAACATTTGGGGGTCTAGTTAGTTAAGAGGTGAATATGGCTTTAAAAGTTAAAACAATAACTGAGGTAAAATATTAAGTTATATATCAGTGAATTCATAATTTTTAAATCCTTGTTGGACTTAATTATGGTACATACATTTACATAATACATCATTATCTAACGGTTAGATATGATCAGATATTTGTGAAATCACAAAAAGTTGTTAGTATATTTGTTTGAAATTTTAGTTGATAAATTTTAAATAACAAGGAAGATATAAGAACGATGCTAAATCACTAAAAAACACCATTTCCAGACGAAAGAATTTCGTTAAGTCAAATAAGGTTTCGTCACCTATAGTTTTGCCCCCACGGAACTTTGTCACACCAAAATCATAGCACGAACTTTTTCCTGACAAATATCTAAAATTCGTGAGGCAAACAGTATTTTCATGACGATGGGCTCGTTTGGAATTGCTTTTAAAATGACTGAAAGCGGTTTTGGTGAAAATATTTTTTTGAACCAATTCTTAGTAAAATACAAGTAAACCCTGAAAAAACACTTGAAGTGCTTTTGGAACCCAAAAATATTTATCTAAAAACGCTTTTAGTCATTTTAAAAGCACTTCCAAATAAGTCCGAGATATTACCAACGATGGTTTTTTAGAGCAAAGTGCGTTGACCAACTTAACTGGCCACAGCTGGCTTGCCCGACGATCGTATGTCGTTGATCCTCAGTGTATGTACGGAAATAAATAAATAAATAATTTGTCGGCAAAAGTTTTGGCTGACAAGTAATATAAAGAGAAAAAAAAAATACATGCTCGACGAATATATTCGTTGGGCAACCGTTTATAACTTTTTTTTTAAAAAAAAATTATAATTAATTAACATTAATTATTTTAATTTGTTAGTTATATTTAATTAACATTAAAGGTAATTTAGTTAAAGATCAGTAAAAACTTTACTATTCAGCCATATATCAGTGACATATTTTTGTTCTGGACTTAATTAATGATATGTTTTTATTAATTAGGTATAGGTCAATGAGAAATGCTATATGGGCTTTAAGGCATTATCAATAGTTAGAATTTTGCCCTTTTCTCCTTGTCTCTCATTTTTTCAAAAATAAAATAAAATTATGATTACATGTTGCCCGTCTTAAAACTGTGTGATTTGAGAAAGATTTTCTCTATTGATAAGTTTTTTATGAATAACAGTACATACGGAGACCTATATTTATACAATCTATAATTGGTCTATTCTAGGTAAAGTATATGCAGATTGGCAATTACAATCAATCATAATAACTAATTGATACATTCCTATAATCAAGTAATCTTCATTTCTTTCTGTTAATACTCCCCCTCAAGTTGGAGCGTGGACGTCTAGAACACCTAACTTGCCAAGTAGGAAACGAAATGATGGCTGATCAAGTGGTTTGGTAAACATGTCGGCAAGCTGACACTTTGTGGACACATGAGCTGTAGCGATATCTCCACACTGGATTCGCTCTCGAACCACATGACAGTCGATCTCAATATGCTTCGTTCGTTCATGGAAAACTGGGTTTGCGGCTATGTGAAGTGTCGCCTGACTATCACAATAAAGCTGGGCTGGTTCTGGGTGTCGAACCCGCAGGTCATGCAATAGATATCTTAACCAAGTTAACTCACATGTAATAGACGTCATTGCTCTATATTCTGATTCGGCAGACGGCCTCGAGACAGTCGTTTGCTTCTTGGTTTTCCACGAGATTAGTGCTCCTCCAAGGAATATACAATACCCAGTTACGGATCGTCTCGTAATAGAGCATCGAGCCCAATCCGCGTCACAAAACCCCATTAAAGACATATTGCCTGTGGATGGGAAGTACAAACCTTGTCCGGGAGCTCCTTTTAAATAACGCAAGAGATGGTGGACGGCATCAAGGAGGGGCTTTCTCGGCTCTTTCATAAATTGACTTAAGATGTGGATGGGATATGTTATTTCCGGCCTTGTGATAGTGAGATAGATAAGTCGTCCAACTAGTCGCCTATAATATGATGAATTTTTCAACAACTCTCCTTCAGTTGGCAGGAGCTTGATATTTTCCTCCATTGGTGTGGGCAGTGGTTTGGCCCCGAGCAATCCAGCCTCGTCTAAGATATCCAATGTGTATTTCCGTTGAGAAATCGAGACACCACTAGTTGAACGAGCTACTTCCACCCCAAGGAAGTACTTCAAAGGACCAAGATCTTTGATTCGGAATTGGGTGTGAAGGAAATCCTTAAGGACAGCAATGGCATGATCATCATTGCCAGTGATGATAATGTCATCAACGTAAATAAGCACAGCAGTGAATGAGGTACATGTAACCTTAGTAAACAGCGAATAATCGCCCTTAGATTGTTGAAAACCACAGCGTTGAATAACAGCGGAAAACTTATGAAACCAACTTCGGGAGGCTTGTTTAAGGCCATAAAAGGACTTGTTGAGTCGACATACCATTTTCTCCCCCTTGCGACGAAGCCCTGGCGGAAGATGCATATAGACCTTCTCAGTGAGATCACCATGGAGGAAAGCGTTTTGAACGTCCATTTGATGCAGAGACCAATGACGAACAGCTGCCACGGCTAACAAACACCGAACTGTAGTGAGTTTGGCGACGGGAGCGAAAGTCTCTTTGTAGTCAATCCCTTCCCGTTGCGTAAAACCCTTGGCCACCAGTCTGGCTTTGTAGCGTTCGATGGAACCGTCAGAATTATATTTTATCTTGTACACCCACTTGCACCCTATGGCTCGGTGACCGGGGGGTAATTGTTGAACCGTCCATGTGTGATTTTGTTCAAGGGCTGCAAGTTCATGTGCCATGGCATCTCTCCATTTGGGGTCGGCATTTGCCTGTTCAAAGGTCACAGGCTCCACAAGGGTCGTGATATTACAAATAAATTTCCGATACGGAGAAGAGAGTTGTCCATAAGAGAGATACCTGGATAATGGGTGACGCGTGCTTACCAAAGAAGATGATGTCCTGGGGGCTGGCATGGATGTCTGATACACATGAAAGTCGCGGAGCAAGACACTGGGTTGTGAAAGGCTTCCAGATCGACGCAATGGTGGTGTGGATGGGTGTGGTGAGGTCGATGGAGGTGGCAAAGAAGGTGTGGTGACGGGAAGGGGTTCTAGAGATGGAGCCGTGAGGTTAAGGTTGTCGGTTCGTGAGGGGGACGACGAAGGGAGTGTGGTGGCGGGTAAGGGAGACGTTGGGCTAGGATTTTCTTCATGTGGTACAAGGATATGCGGCGGTGGTGTTATATTAGGAGAAGTCTGTGGTTCAATGAGATAAGGTAAAGGTAATACTATATTATCATCCTGGTGATCTGGTGGGTGAGTAATAAATGGGAATGTGCTTTCATAAAATGTAACATCACGAGAAGAGAAGAACTTGTGAGTTTGGAGGTCATAAACTTTGTAACCCTTTTGTCCCAAAGGATAACCAACGAAAATACATCGGCGGGCTCGTTGATCGAATTTGTGAGTAGGCATGAGATTGGTTGCATAACACAAGCACCCAAAGGTGCGGAGATGAGAGTATTTGGGTGAAGTTTTGTGGAGTACTTCATATGGTGTTTTGTGGGAAAGTAATGGTGTAGGCAATCTATTAATTAAATAGGAAGCTGTTTGAACACTCTCACCCCAAAAACTCAATGGTAGGTTGGCTTGGAATCGTAGGGCTCGAGCCACATTCAAAAGGTGTCTATGCTTGCGTTCATCTACTCCATTTTGTTGGGGAGTCGAAGGACAAGAATGATGGAACACAATGCCTTTCGAGTCAAGGAATGGACGCATGGATACAAACTCGGCCCCGTTGTCAGCCCTAAGTGTTTTAACAGTGCAATGAAATTGTGTATGAACCCATGAAATGAACGATTGCAATATCCCTTGGGTTTCTGATTTATATCTCATGAGGTGAATCCAAGTATATCGAGAAAAATCATCCACAATAGTAAGGAAATAACGAGCCCCTGAGTGGGAGTTTATTCGATGTGGTCCCCAAATATCACAGTGTATCAAATCAAAAGGTGCATTTGTTGAAATTGAACTGGATGGAAAAGACAAACGAGTTTGTTTTGCTAAAGGACAAATTTCACATATATGACTAGAATCAAAATGAATATCAGGGAGTGTTTTATTCAAGATTTGAAGTGGTCTGGTGGAGGGATGTCCGAGCCGTTGGTGCCAAAGGTTGGAGTGTTTGCGGATGTTGTAGGCTAGATGTGGGTTTTGGTCTTGTGTCAAGTAGTAAAGGCCATCATGATGCTTCCCCAGGCCAATCATCTTCCTCGTAGCTGCGTCCTGTACAACACAAAATTCCGGAAAGAATATCACAATACAGTTTAATGCCCTTGTTAGTTTGCTGACAGATATCAAATTAACTCTAAATTTGGGAACTTCAAGTACTCATTCAAGAGTGATTTGCGGACTGATTTTCAATGAACCAATGGCCTCTACACGTGAGTGCCCACCATCAGGTAACTGGACTGTGGTAAAGTTTGATTGAGACTGTGGTTTCATCAAAGTGGATAAGGCCGTCACATGATCCGTGGCCCCACTATCAATAATCCAATATAATTTCGAAGGATAATCAATTTGATCCATATTAGAGGATGGCGTGATAATACCTGTTGCATTTGCAAAGTGTTGTTGATTACCATCATTGGTTTTTCGAAGGAGTGCCATCAATTGGTTATACTCCTCGGTGGTGAATCTTGGACCTTTTGAGGTGGATGGTTTGTGGCTTGAATCAATGGCCTTGTTTGGTTCTTGTCCAGTCTTCACATGGTTGGCATGAGATCGCCGTTGGTTGGGTGGTTTCACATTCTTTCCATGAAACTTGTGACCAGGTGGAAATCCATATAGGTAGAAACACCTTTCAACGACATGACCGCCTTGATCACAGTATGAACATTTCTTCTTCTGGACTTGGTTTGCTTGATTGCCCGTGTCTGATGCATGGGTTGCTAGCATGGCATGGTGGTTCAAGTTTTCTCGATTAAGAGATACTTCAACTTGTTTTTCTTGTTGGAGGATGAGAGAGTAGACGCGTCGCGTGTCAGGCAGTGGCTGCATCAACAAGATTTGTCCTCGAATTGCTGAGTAGCTGTCATTCAATCCCATAAGGAATTGCATGACCCTTTCTTTCTCTTCCCTTTTGTTAAGGTGCTCTAATCCTCCGCAAGTGCATGTCGCTTCCTTGTTGTACGAGGAAAGCTCATCCCAGAGGGCCTTCAGTTTGGTGTAGTAATTAGAGATTGATTGCTGGCCTTGTCTATGCTCAACAATCTCTCTCTTAATCTGATAAATACGTGAATCGTTTCCTTGGGAGAAACGTTCTTTCAAATCATTCCATGCCTCTGCTGCATTGGAGTTGTGCATGATGCTGCTTGCGATGTCAGAATGGACAGAATTTAAAATCCATGCCAAAACCATATCATCGCAACGTTGCCACAATGGAAATTTTGCATCTGTCGGAGATGGGGACTTGACGGTGCCTTCCACAAATTCGATCTTGTTTTTCGCGCTGAGACTGATGCGCATGGCACGACTCCACGTGCTGTAGTTGTCTCCTTCGAGCAGCTTGGATACTAGGACAATATTTGGGTGATCGGAATGGTGTATGGTGTATAAGTCTGAGACATCCAAGAGGGTCTCGATAGGTTTGGTTTCTGGTTTCCTGCTGGTGTCGTCTCCCATAGTGGCAGCGACTATGAGTGTTGAATGCGGAAGTGTGTAGGATTTCTAGGGTTTCTAGAGTCACCAAGATCGGTGCTCTGATGCCATCTTAAAACTGTGTGATTTGAGAAAGATTTTCTCTATTGATAAGTTTTTTATGAATAACAGTACATACGGAGACCTATATTTATACAATCTATAATTGGTCTATTCTAGGTAAAGTATATGCAGATTGGCAATTACAATCAATCATAATAACTAATTGATACATTCCTATAATCAAGTAATCTTCATTTCTTTCTGTTAATAGCCCGACCTTTCTCCTCCACCCCACAACCAACCGTTAACCAGATCTACGAAATATGTACTCAAGTTGTCCACGTGCGCTCTGTCTTCCCCCACCAGGACACCACATCGATCTTTCTCAGCCTTCTCCCACTCCTATCCAGCAACTTGTTCTTGGTGGGATTCCTCGACGACACCACACCACCGCCACCACCCACAGGAGAAAAAAGACCCGAAATCAGAGGGTATGATTTCAATACATATGCCTCGTTGCCGACATCTTTCATTGGAAAGGCCTTCTCGTTGAGCCCAAAACGGGTAAAGTCGTGACGAGGATCTGTGTGGGATGAATTTGGGGTTGAATTTATGGGTCTTGATGTTTTCTTCTTTTGGGTTTGAAATCTTTTTGCGTTTAGATTAATTTGATGGGTTCTATCTCCTTTTGTTCTATGATACGAAATTTTTAGTTTTTAATTTTTTTAAAGTAATTTTATGGGTCGAGAGAGACTCCATGAAATGTGAAAATGATGACAGGAAGAAGAAGAAAACCAGGAAACAGACACTACAATGCAGCGTCTGAATAGAGATGTAAAAACAGAACTAGGAAACGGACATTGCAATGCAATGTCTAAATCCAAATATATATAAAATAAAAATAAAAAAATAAAAAAATAAAAAAGAAAACAGAACCAGGAAATGGACATTACATTGCAGTATCTGAATCAAAATGTAAAAAAAGAAAAGCAGAACAGGGAAACGGACACTACATTGTAGTGTCTAAATCTAAGCGTAAAAATAAGTAGTCGCTTGAAGAATGAAGCATAGAAGGCATGTGAGAGGTAAAAAAAAATAAAAATAAAAAAAAAAGGAACCAGGAAAAGGACACTATCCAAGTGTAAAAAAACATAAGCACGAAACAAACATTGCACTGCAATGTTTGACACGTATTGACTATTTCAAAATATGAAAAACATGAGAAAGAGGCCGTCAGTTGAAGTGGGTGCCAACTGTAATGGCAGATTCTGTAATTTTTGTTTATTTTAAATGCATTTAAGTGTCACAATACATGATCGACCTATTTATAATTAACATAAATATTGTTGATTTATTGTCAATATGGTAACTTTGTATTGATTTTAATTAAAAGATATCACAACATAAATTTTTTTTTAATTGAATTATATTGAAATTGAAATGTTCGTACAATTATAATATTTCAAAAAAAATCTAAAATTTTATAATTATTGTGAAAATACTAAAATTATAATATTTCAAAACAAAAATAAAACGTGGCCCCGTGCCGTTCCTTATGGTTAAACACCGTGGCTAAACCACCAATACCACCTGTGTAAGCTGCCAGTGCAATCTTTGATGCAGTCCATGACCAGCAGACCTACAGTGTAGCCTAAGCCGCGAAAACAGCCTATGTTGCAGAACGAAGCCAGGCCTAGGTGACAGGACCCAACTTGCTCATCACATGGAGAAAGGCCAGAGAGCCCAAGATCATTGCAACCCAAGAGCAGGCCTAAGCCCAGCAGGTCCAACCCTTCCAAGCTTAAGCTCATGTCATCCTAGCGCATGCAACAGTTACTGAGGCCTAAAAGACGCACAACCCAGCCCATAGGCCAAAAAGACCCCAATCAGCACAAAGCACAACGTGCACCTGCAGCCTTTGGACACGCAGACCATGCAAACCCGGATCCACCCATAATGCCCAACTTAAGTTTGCACCCGTGCGCCTAATTCTGCCCTAGCCAACTAGGACGATTCTCAATCATTTCAACCGAATCGTCTTAGCAGACCGTCAGACCGACGACTAAACCAAGGTTATTTTCGCCCTATTTTTCTGTAGGTTGGCCCATCCATGCTCGAATTATGCACCCAAAGTCCTTTACACTGCCACTCGAGTTCTTTCACCCCAAATAATATTTAACCTTTGTCCAAGCATGTCGCAAACTTGACGAGCACCCTCGCCCAGTAGATGACCTTAGTGAGACAGCATTTGGAGCACATCGAGACGCAGTAAAGTCTCGACGAGGTATCTTGAAGCACTACAAAGGCAGATGATGATTTTCTTTCTAGCAACGTCTCAGCAAGCAGCCAGTCAACCAGCCACGAGTGAATGATTATGGTAGTGTACACTTCCAACGCCTAGAGACTACCGATGAGGCGCTCTAGATAGACATATCCAACATGAGTAGGTCACCCTTCATAGACAAGATTGAGCAAACGGGCCCTTCGTGTAAATTCAACATGTCGCATTTCACATTCTTTAAGGGAGATTAAGATCCAGATAGGCACTTGACGCATTACAACGACGCACTTACGTGAAAGTTTTTTGCCCATAATCCAGTAAGGCGAGGCACAAGACTGATTTGGAATCTTGCCACTGTGGTCAATCTGGAGCTTCAGTTAACTTTCCTTGGTGAAAACCAACGAATATTCATCCTACTACTTGATCAAGAAGAAGTTTGACCATATGTTCAACATCAATAAAGATCCAAAGAAGATGCTCCACAACTATGTGAAGGCGTTCAAGATAAAGAAGGCTCGAATGTGATGAGGTAATAGCTAATGCAGCATTCAAAAAGAGACTCTTAGCAGACCATCATTTGTTTGGAGAATTGATCATAGGAGAGAACTTGACCATCGTGAACTCATTTGCTTTGACCGAAAAGCAAGCACTTTGGTACAAAGAATGACGAGCCCAGAAAGCACTTGAGCAACCTTAGAATGACTTGGAGGCAGGCTAGAAAAAGGCGGACGAGAAGTAAGCCAACAATAAAAAACAAGCCATGAGCCAAAAGTAGGGATCGTTCTCTAATGAAAGGGGGTCTGACGCCCAAGATGCAAACATAGAGGTTTTAGTCTTGATCAATCATATTTTTCGCGACCTTAAGAATGAATCATAGTTCAAGCTGCTGCCATCTTCAAATGGAGACACTTCCAATCTGTTTCAAGGGGAAGAAGTACCTCGAAATGCTGGTGAAGGAAGGCATGTGTGACAAATACCTAGATAAGCTAGTAGCGCGGTGCAGTCCAAGTGAGACAAATAAGAAAATGCAAAGCCACCTGTCATGATCAACAGCATCAACTACATCTTTGTCGGGTCCTAACCACCAACAACTCCAAGAAGAGAAATATCCAGCATATGAGATCGGTCTTCCAGGTTCAAGCCGTAGATGCTGTACATGAACCAATCATCAGCTTCTCAGAGCAAGATGCCAAAATAGTAGAATTCCCATATGATAATGCCTTGTTGATCTCTGTCCAGTTCGCTTATGCCATGGTAGATATAATGATGGTGTCCAATAAACCCAAGATTTAAACAGAAGTTCTATGTCCCAATCAACTAGATCATTCGTGACTTCAAAACAAATCATGGTTCAAGTTGGCTTCATCTTCAAAGGGAGACACCTTTAAGCTAGACCTCTAGAAACACTACGCATTCCACCGAAGCCCAGTCCACATTACAGATAGCTGCTTTAAGTGGAAAAAAATACCTCGAAAACTAGTGAATGAAGGCATGCGTGACAAATACCTAGACAAGCCAGCAGCACAACCCAAGTGAGACGTAAAAGAAAATAACCACCTACCAAGATCATCTGAATTAATAACATCTTCGCCAAGTCCAAGCACTTGGAAGCCCCCAACAGTTCCAAGGAAAAAGAAAATCCAGCAGGCGAAATTAGTTTTCCAAGTTCAAGATATAGATGTTGTACGTGAACCAATCATCAGCTTCTCAAAGCAAGACACCAAAGAAATAGGCTTTCTTAATTACGACATCTTGGTGATCTTTGTCCAACTGGCCTATGTCATGGCCCACAAAGTGATGGTGTTCAACTGGCCCAAGACATAAACACGTAGTTCTTAGTCCCGCTTAACCAGATCTTCTACGACCTCAAGAACGAATCATGTTCAAGCTGCCGCGATTTACAAAGGTAAACTTATCTAAGTTGGACCATTCAAAGAATTGCGCATTCCTTCAAGAATCAAGCCACACTACATATAGCTACTTCAAGTTGAAGAAGTACCTCGAAAAACTGGTAAAAGAAGACATGTGTAACAAATACCTAGACAAGCAAGCAGCGTAGCCCAGGCAAAACACATAAGAAAATACAAAACCACATGCCAAGGTCATTTGAATAAACACGTCTTTATCAGGTCCAAGCACTTGAGGGCTACCAACAGTTCTAAGAAGAGGAAGATCCAGCAAGCAAGATTGGTCTTCTAGGTTTAAGTCGTAGATGTTGTATCATCGGATTCTCAGAGTATGATGCTAAAGAAGTAGACTTCCCGCATGATGACACTTGATGATTATTGTCCAATTGGCCCATGCCATGGTCGATAGAGTGATGGTGTCCAACTGGACCACTCGAAGCATTGCGCATTCCACTAAGGCCCAGGCCACACTAAAAGTAGTTGCTTTAAGTGGAATAAGTACCTTAAAAAGCTAGTGAAGAAAGGTAAGTATGACAAATATCTAGACAAGCCAGCAATGCAGCCCAGGCGAAATGTATAAGAAAATGCAGAACCACCTACCAATGTCATTTAAATTAACTACATCTTTGTCTGGGCCAATCACTTAGGGGCCACCAGTTGCTGTAAGAAAAGGAAGATCATACGGGCAAGATCGGTATTCCAAGATTAAGCCATATATATTGTACTTGAACCAATCATCGGCTTTTCAGAGCAGGACACCAAATGATTAAACTTTCCCTATGACGACGCCCTAG